ATTGTTTGCAAAAAATTGATATCTTGTTTACGTGAACATGCTGCTTGGGCATCTACGTCTTCTAATCAAGTAAAAGAGATAGTAAGCCACTTTGGAACGCAAAGATAACATTGTTAAAAAAGAACAGCATTTTGAGTGGATAACATATCTAATAACACGATTTCATACCCTGTTTGTCCTCCCCTGCAGCGCCACAAGGACGCTAATGAAACTGTTTTCCGTACCGTACATTAATCTACGTGAACATTCGTGAGACGTGAGGCTATTGTACGGTTGAGTCTCCATATAACCTACGAAATATCAGCTAATTTTGTTTATCTATGAGTTTGAAACAGGTGGTTATCCTCTTACATCTCTGGAACCTCATCTCGCGATAACAGCAAAATGTATATACGAGTGACGATGATCTTCGAACCAAATGACATCACCCCCATTCCTTCGCTTTCACCCTCACGAATCCAGGATGTAAAGCCATCACTAAATCCCCATGTTGGAAGGACCCGAAGAAAAAGTTTTTCAAGCTGGTTTTTTAATCTTGAATAGGGGAGAGATATCCCACTGATCGCTCTCCGTTTACCTCTGAGAGGCATCCAGAAGCTTTGCATAAGCTACTGGGGGCATGCGCAATTCCTCATAGTAACAGGACACATCTTTTTCCTCTTTGGAAAGAATGACAACCAAGCTCAGGATCAAAGTTTGTGCCGCGGTGAATTCATGATAAGGACCCTACAAACATATTTCTACTGTTTGCTCTCTACAAATTTCTCTGTTTGGATAGACGCAAGTTCTGCTGGGAAATTTCTGCACCATTTCTTTTCCCAGAGAGCTTCTGGAGATAAATGGAATTCTCCCCTTGTTATGTATATTTCACATCAGGGAATAGATTTTCAGTGGCAAACGTGGTAACTTCAATTTCAAACCATCTAACTGTCTCATGCACTGTTCATGAAGAGTTGCGCTTGTTTGTTGGAAATTTCCAAGTAATTAGTGTCAAGAGAAGTCTGGTTTTCCTCTCGTTTCCCACGACTGCAACAATAACATTTTGATTCACACCAGTGGAGACTCTTTGCAGGTATTCATATCACACTTTTCCCCATAGCCGATGGAACTTTTAAAATCGCATGAAACTTTGGGTTGTTGAAACAATGAATTTTGGGCATTATTGCGTATGTGCGAGACAATACTGGACAATTGATGACCAGAGTATTCTCGCTAGAGGGATGACACATAACAGAAGACGCTTGATAAAAAACGAGGGCGATATCCCTTCGCGTTTCATACGGTGTATGGATGGAAATGGATTTATTTAGCACCAGCCCCAGTGCGTTCTCTATGACGTAGTCCAATTTTTGGGCAGGCAAGAGAGAAAAGGCACGGTTGAAGACAAAGAAGAGAAGGGAATTCACCTCAGACTCTTGTCTGCCTTTGATCTTATGAACAAAAAATTAAGAAAAAACAAGATGAAGAATGAATATTTTAAAAAAATGAAGGTAAGACTAGGAACAGACTCACCGCCACTGGATAGGAGAGGGAAATAAGGATGGAAATTGCGCAACCAATGCTTCGAGCACTGTCTGTGGTACCGATAAAAAATCTCTCTTATCTCTATCACTTAAGTGTGTTCCAATGGCAACGAGGCACTTTGGAATCTGCAGACGCCGGAAGCTACATTAGAGGTTTAGAATAAATCTGGTCTTACATGATGACTGGTTTTTCTGCCTTCCTCTATCAGTGTGGATTAATGTCGAACGGTGATGGAATTGAAATTCGAATCGACTTCATTACTTTTCAGATTCATATTTCGTATTCCTTCGAAAGGAGTTCGCACAGCAACAATTCAATTCCCTTAGCGCAACCAAATCAGTCTGACTAAAATACAGACGTACCGACTAAAGTAAGAAATTCATCGATAGGGGCAGGGACGAAGGCTGGAATCTGTTTATTGAGTCGTTGCATATACGCTTTGGACTTTCGAATAGATAAAATAAAGTGCTTGTGTGGACAGGAGGGAGTTTCTCAATCGAGATCTCATGGTTTCCTGGTTTCTCACGCTCCTCAGACTAATAAATTGAAGGGACTTGGTTTGCATTCAGCAGTTGAAAAAGTGTGGCGAGCGAATTTCATCACTGCAGTATAGAAAATCCACAAGACTCAACGTCTGACTGGGAACCATGGAGCATATTTAGGGGGTCGGCTTTACGCGTGGAGCTATTTTCTGGGCACTCTTGACGTAATATGCTGGGAGGAGTGAGATTGGGCAGTAGTTTGGAGGATTCGCCACCCCTTTTGTTTAACAATATCCCCAAATGTTACTGAAACGCTCTGAAAAATTGAAACCTTGGACTTCATCACACGTACCTGCTTTTGCTACTTACGATGACAATATGCCAACAAGTTTGCATTACATGATACTCCAAACCTGATTTGCATACCCGCGAAAATTTCACAATTTCTACAGATATATTTTCCATGGTATTTGAGTGCCCACATCACCTATGAGACTTAATTAGGCGCAATTTTTAACGTTTTCCCTGAATGAGTGCTGAATTAAATTCTATGTTTGGTATTGTAGCTAAGTAAATTCATAGGGGACAGTAGTAGAGGGTTGCTCACACCCGCAGTAAAGTGACTTTTCTGGGAGCAGTATCGTTATCTCAATAATAATTCAATGAGCTTCCTTGAATCATTTAAGTCAGCTTAAAATTGCACCATCTTCCTTCCATCTTCTGAGCCAGAGTTTTCTGGAGACTCCTAGCACTGGCAAGAATTAAAATGTCCTCTCCTGTGGTGTCTTTGGAGAAAGATCGGGCAACGTATGGGAAGTATTTCCAACTGTATAAGATATTGACTTGCTATAGCGACTACTTCAGCGCCACCTGGCTCCGGTTGTGCAAACCTTTGTTCGAGCCACTGTCGAATGAATAGCGCATCTATGCTTAGCCCTTTTAAAACGGGCTGAATTTGGCCATATCACGAAAGCTGTAATTAGACAAACAATAGCGCAAACAATAGTGACCAAAAGATTCAAATATTCCAGGCCGTGATTGACACAAGGATTTCTAAAACCAATGATGAAGTTGCTCACATTTTATATCACCCCCTTCGTGCTTTAGGGACGGGCATCGAGTTTGATATATCGGCCCGGTCGTGTTAAGAGGGTTAAAGAAAAGCCTCCTTAACGTTCAACGAATGTCATTCAAAAACGTCATAGAGATGGTGATGAAACGGCACCTTGACTGAGCCCTCAAAAGCTGCTCATCCGCGAACACTGAACGTCGGGTCAGCCTCCCACCATCGGCCCAGCTTCTGTCCATCAAGAAGCGGGCGAACGCTATCGATGTTCGATAAGTCCTCCAACTAGCAATGACATTCTGCCGCACCTGCCACGATCCCGCTCGTGCCGACGGAGGCCCACCATCGGGCTGAAAGAAATGTGCTACCTGGGATAGAGCATGTCATAAACAGTTGAAACTATTTTCATTATATTATCTTTACTATTAATATTAACCACCGCAAACAGCAAATGGAACCTCCTGGTTCCATTGCAGAACATGTAAACCAGGGCCGCTGTGGAGGCCGTAAGGTCAATACAATACACTCGTAGATACAATCTGTATCTCAAAACATACTCTTTATTTGGGCTAAAATGCGCCAACATATCATGCCCCACCCTGTACAAAGTTGTTTCGAGCTTAATAAACGAAAGTCATGAAAGTTGGACCTTACGACACGGCTCCTGCCTCCATATGAGGACACTCACGAAATGCAGAAGCATGCACAGATTCCCTCTGGATGATTCAAGCAATTTTCTTGGGGACTTGTCCCTGGTTCAGAGTCCATGCTAAGACACAATGTCCTTGCTCAATGGCTGGAAGTAGCACTGGCTTTAACATATAACCAGGGCTTGGGACTTTCTTTTGTGTCGGAATCCCGCAGACAGCAAGTTTTTTCATGAGTTCTCATCAAAAAGGAACACATCGTCATCACTGACGAGAATCATGTGGTCTCCATAATGATCTTCCTTAGGTGCATTTTCTTCATCCTCATGGTCAACACCAATTCTCCTTGAAATTTACTTCACTGGGTGTAACGGGTGCACTAATCTCCTTTGCTCACGATGAAATATCCTGCATCATCCATGGAATCTTGCAATTTCATGTATGCTTGAACTGGACTTCCTGCCTTGGTCTTGGTCAAGAATGGAGTCTTTCACGCCAGGAAGAGATTACAGCATTATTCATTATTTATACATTAATATTCATATTTCAATTCATAATTCATTCATGTTGACACTATTGTTAGACCAGGAGAAGGTAGACCCAAGCTCCCAGTATATTGAATATAATACCCATGGAGCGGACTTTCATGCTCTATAAATATGGGAAATATACGCTTGCATGGTGTATAATAATAAATAATAAAAAGTTACAAAAAACATGTTTCAATGGATAGCAGGATACATATCTAACATGCTAAATTGAAGAAACGCCATTCGATTCTCTTCATCTATAATGATCACACTAGAGGAGCATAAAAACTGCCAAAAGTAAATAATCATATATAGCGTGAAAATCCACTTCCTAATAATACCTCTTTCTGTATTCCAACTTGGACGTATGCTTCTGATGTGTATGCGATGGTTCCTGTTTCTGAGTTCCTCCTTCTGTGAACCCCGACAGTATCACCCATAAGAGGAGCAGCATCTTTTCCCAAGTATGGCAGAGAATATGTATGCTTCGGAAGGGAAAAAAGATGCCTTTTTTATAATGGACTTGATACTTTATTTTACTAGGAATACTCATGACTTCCTGTGAACTTACTCTCATTGAGACTTGTGATTTGGGAGTAGCAAATTCTCTATCATCCTCATGGTTCTGGCTACTTACGTTAAGAACCTGGAATGAATGTGACAATGAGTTTACATGAGACTGGAGCTGAGTACAGAGACTACTTAATGGCGACACTTGATAATACTTATCTTGCATGCAATAGGAAGTGACTCACCATCATGCTTTCGTTTCCGCTAATGCTGACAGTTTCAGACCCAGGAACTTGCTTTCGTTTTTCCCCTGGTGACTAAACGAGATAGAAATTTATTTCCATTGTTGTTGAACATATATGTCTACTTAAATATTTGGACGGGACATACTCTCGGATTACCTTAAGTAAAGGTCCCGGCAGCTTTGGGTTGGGCTCCTGCAAGTGTTTCCACAACCTGGAAAGGCATGACAAAAAAAAACTACTTGATGAAAACAATACGAAACCCTACTGAAACTCGTAGAAGAACTAGCAGGAAATTTGACCTATTGCCCCCCAGTGCAGCTGAAACGACCAGAGCCACAGCAACGACCGTGATCACCAAAGCAGCCATAGAGAAATACTGATCTGCAAAGGAAAATTCAGCCACGATTTTGAATTCTCTCAGTTGAATTTTGAGATGCATTAGATGATTTTCTCAATGATGGAAACGGCATTGTGCCGATCATGATCATGAAAACATCAATGAGTTTATTTTCCTTGGTTGCTTGAAATTGCCTAGGATGGTCTAATTTTTCCTTCATTCAATGACAGGAGGCGAGGTAAACGTCAACATTTGTTACGAGGGAAACCTTCCATAAGGAAATAACGACAGTAACAATTCTGTTTCCTCAAAAGCACGAAAAACTAAGAATAATAGGATAAACCCAATGCCTCCAACTTTCTGACCTTTCAGTGTACCCACGATAATCTTATCCAAAAAAAAAATCCCCCCCCACTTCCCACTCTATTCTTTCCTCTCGCTTTTGTTTCCTGTGCCTAACATACTGTAATGTTGCAAATCTAATAAGGGGACATATACTTAATTTAGTCCCATTTTTAGGAGAAAAAGAACATTTGCCCAAAATGAAGAAAGAAATGAGGTTGTGGTTGGATTGGGTTGAGGTTCAATGGTAAAAACCTTTGAAATTTGGTTTTCACATTACTACATCTTGTGGAGTATGAGTTAATAGTGGAGGAGGCGTGGTTCAAATAGGGGCTTCACTCAATAGGGCAGTGGTGCTCAACCTTTTTGGCTAGACGTAGCTCGTTCCCACAGCCATCGCGGGCCATATGGAGTCACTAGTATTGTAGGAGACTATTTAAAGAAAACCTGAAGGTATTTATTGTGGGTTTGTGCCTCGCGGGCCACTTTTTGCCCTAGGGGCCACAGGTCGGGCACCGCTGTAATAGGGTGAGGATAAAAGTGTTCAGTTTCCTTGATTGTAGAGGCTGCGTTTGGCTCCCCATCCATGGTAGGTTCGGGTGAGACAAAAGATGTGATTCCCCGCGTCTTATCCGACAAATGCTTCCAAAGCGGGAAAAAAGGTCATATAAATAAGTAATAAAAGAATTCACCATGGGCAGAGAGTATTATTAGAGACGACACTCCGCTCGAATCCCATTCATTGCCTGAGTCGGAATGTCACTATCGATCCTCCACCTAGCGTGCGCACATCAACAATTCCTCCATGGCCGAGCTGCGGACTCATCGAGACTCGTGTGTTACGTTGAGGGATCCCCTTTGGGTCGAATCCCAGAATGAGTCGATTCCCGATTCCGCTGCCATGAAGAGTTGATGATAACAAGCCACCAGATGTCTCTGTAACATTTCGCCCCCCCCCCCCCCCATGTCCTACCCCTCGGAGTGTCGCCTCTACCCGGCAGCACACAACATTGGGCCAACATTGGCTATCATGCGGTATACAAGTGATGGTCCGGCAAGACTCAGATGATCATATCTATCACAATCGAACTCATTCTTGAAGTGGAGCCAGACGTAGCCTCGGCAACCTGTAAATACTAGACTCCTTCATCTAAACCCTATCCAGAGAAACCCAAATTAAACCATGCTTCCTCCACTATTTACAGGAGTCTCCTTAGACTGCTTAACCTGTTTGAACAAATGATTTGAGAAATTCGAGAGTCTTCCCTTACGTTCTCTATGGGAAAAGCTCAAATACCACGTGAGAGGTACTGGGGTCTTAAATTAATGTGACTCTCCGATACCACTGAAATAGCGGCTACGAAGGCGCCATCTCGCTTAATCTGTGGGAAGCTTTTACTTCAAATAACTGAAATAGATGTCTCATCCTGAGTCGTTCGCTGCCACCCTAGCGCCGATATGGGGCCTACATGGGCAGCCCACTGCGATGTGGGCGCACGCTCCCCCACTCGCAACCAATGTTGACCCAACATTATGATCTGCCGGGGGAGGGATCAGCATTGGGAACCAATGTTAGACTCGCATCGCAATTGTGGAATTCCAACATAGGCCCAACGTTGGCCCAACGTGGGTGCGCTACTGGGGAAATTTCAAGGCATTTTCCCAGAGTTTTTCAGTAAAATACTTGACATCCATCATTAATACCGTTATAGATGAATACAGAGTGTGGCATACGTTACCCTGTCCGAAAGCAGAAGCATAACAGTGTGACATCATTCGTTATCCAAATGCTTATTACTGATATGCATTCCTCTGTCGCAAATGCATGAACTGCACATTGAGAAGGGAATTTCTCTAAGATGTTCTAACCGGTGTCGAAGTTGATTTGCACAATTTTGGAACCTATCCAGGATGGAACTTCCGGGGCAAGTAATTTATGTCCTACCATGTATTCCTTAATTGGCAAACGCTAGTGATTTGTGGAATTCTTGAAACATTTGTTTCCATTATGAGAGATGGCCTGATTTGGGACTAAAAATCGAAGTATCATTTCAGCGATTTCTGTTTCTTCCAACACGAATGCATTTCAACCATTCCTCAAGTATGCAATTATGCACGATGTCATTCGTCCGAATGGAATTCGACATTTTGGCGTGAATGGGAGGATAACTTCTGCTCTAGTCAATCAAGCTGATCAAGCATGATTGGCAAGAGCAAGCAGATTAGATAGTTATTGATGATATCTTGAGAAGAAAGGTACAGATGCATACTAGTTGAGCAGGTAATGTGAAGTCAATTCATTAATTGAGGAGTTCTCTGAAAAAGAGCCTATATGCAAAATATGCAACTCGAGAAATACAACAAAATCCCCTCAGTGCTCATCTGCCACCAGTCTAAATCCAGTTTTCAGTTTTATGATATTCTTGACTGGTCTTCATTTAAACATTAAGCTTCAACAAATTTTTCCCCTTGAAGTTGCCCGAATGCAAGCAATGAAAAATGAAAAATATATATATTTTTCCACATACGCCCTTTTCCTTATTCCCACTATTCGAAGTTTTTAATTCTTTCTTTCACCTGCAATTAGAAAATATTTTCTTCTTTGCTACAAAAGCGTCTAAACCATCTCAATAACACTTCATCGAATTGAAAGTCGTCCAACGCACTGCATGAGCAGGGATATGGAAAAAGGGTATAGGGCACTTTCGCCCCTTTTCAACGAACTCCCCAATTATTCCCTGTGTCTTTCATTGAGATTAGTTTTCTTCACTGAACCAATTTAGTTTTATGTATGGTATACGTGCTTAGTGGGTCCCAAAGCAAACATGTGTCTCCCAGGAATACTTTTCATGGGATTCCATTGCAAAATGGATAGAATGGTCTGACATCAGACACCTTTTCTGAGCGGGTTCATGGCGATGCCGACAAGAAAGCTTGCAGATGAAAGGGATGTGATGTTCAAAAATGAACTTGATCATGCATGGGAGTTTTGAACACATTGAACACATTTGCATTGGCTCTCAGACGTCGATAGGGAGGGATCTATTAGATTTTGATTTCTATTTGTGCACTTGGCTTCCCGGAACCACTTCTTTTGCAATCTGCAGTTAAAGTTTCACAACTTCAATTCCACTTTAAATTAATTTTAATTTTATTTCCAATCCATAAAGGTTGCATTGAGAGAAGGAAAGTACCACCTGATTTTGATTCAAACACGATCTTCTCCCAGCCCATGCCACTGCCACTTCCAGATTCTCCATTGGCCGAGATGGCGAATTTAAGGGACTCGTTGGACTTCAGCCCAAAAGTGGTGGTTTTCTTCGAAACGACTTGCCAGTTAATGTTCGAATCACAGTTAGGCCAAGCCGGATGAGAAGAGCACCAAAATACAGTGAAATTCGTCGTCTTCTCCTCTTCCAGGGCTCTCCATTCCAAGATATACTCCCCGTCATGCGTAGAGGTCTTGTTTTGGATCGTTGGACAAGGAATTCCTATATTTGTTGTGATAAGATGTCTTGTTAGCCGGTACTTAAAATATTATTGCGAATCTTTGAAGAATAAATGCTGAGGAACCCCTACTGTCCATTTCCTTGTCGACTTCAATGATAGACGGCTTCCGAGAAATTCCCATTTCGTTGCTGGAAACAATGTGGAATTTGTAGGCTGAGTTGGTGCTCAGGTTTCTGAAGACGGCGGACGTGTCCGTCACAGATATTGGTTGAACCCTCTTTCGTGTCGATAATTCTAGCCCTTCGACCTGCATAACACGAACGAAAGTCTTCACTAAAAAGCTTTCTACAACTTTCCCATATGAGGGAAATTGTTTTTTTGAAGGGAAGAGAAGGCGTACTCCTTTCTCAATCCCAAGAGCATGTGCGAAGTTTAGTTTACAACGGATGCTCTGGCCGACAAATTAAAGGCTGAAAGGAATATTGGCCTATCTCTAAGAAATTCTCAAACAGAGATGACAAAGAGTTAAGTGACCATGTTCTGAAGATTTAGAAGTAGCGCATGTGATGGATATAAATAATTTTCATATATAGAACTCCTAAAGGTTAATTATGTTTAGGGAAAGGTAGCCCTGCGAATTAGACTTATTTTCCCTTTTCTTGGTCTATTTTGCAGATAAACCAGTTTTCCTTCAAGCACCTAAGTATTGGCAGTTGTGTATTTCGAAATATTGAGTAAGACTTAGATCTGCAAGTGGCAATGAAAAGAGTTATATTGTTAAAAAAAAAAAAGCTGAAAGCTGCTGGGTGGTATCTTAAGCTCGGCCTTTATCTCTTATTCACATGGTTGCTCTTACAGACTATCCGATCCAACCTTGCTACACTTTCAATCCTCCAAACGGGTCATTGAATGTCATCTGTCTTCCTCTCACCTGATGGAGGAGATGATTTCCCTTTGCCCTCTCCGCCAGACGGTGGCCTACCACTCCTGAATGGAGGGGGCAGACAATACATTTTCATAAGGTGCCTAACAAGTGCAGGAAAACCTTGGTCCGCCACTGGTAGCCTCCGAGCCCCTTTCCCAATGTTTTTGACAGCACGAAATTAATGAGCTACATTAAAACAGCCTATGTCGGTGTAGCAAAGTTGGACAGGATAGACCATTTATTTTGTCTTTTATTTACATTCGTTTGTCTTATTTGAAATGATCTCACCAAGTAAGTGAAGTTGTCGGAGTAATGTTCCCAGTCGCTCAACGGGATCCAATAAAGGGAGATATTCCTGAGACTATCATCAATCCGCTCTACGTGGAAGCTCCCAAGCGGCGTATCTGGGCTCCTGTCTGGAACTATCAAATCGACATATAAAGGGTCAGATGAATAAATGTAGCTCTAAATCGGCGGAAGACGGGCAGAGGTAAAACAGGATACATGTTTGACGTACCTTTTGGCTTGGTTTTGCCTTTCACCCTAGAAGAATTGGACCAGAGATCAGAGAATTCTGCTCCCTCGACAATGGCCCTTATCGTGACTTCATAGTTGGTATTCGGTATGAGGCCCGTTAATGTATAATTCCAGGACTTTATATTGGACGCTCCTGGGATCGTATAATTCGCCACCTGGATCACAATGTTTAACCTATTTTGAATCCTACTATGGCCGTCTGAAGAAGTCAATTAGAAGAATGCATGACGATGGTTTTCATAAAACTTTCCCTTCCTTCAACCTCAACCCCCCCCCCCCCCCCCCTTCTCTACGGCACTCACTGACGTTAGGCACAGGCCTACCTGTTCTCGTTCAAAAGAAACTCAATCCGCCACTTACGGGCCAATCGATTTCCTTTAGCGTTCATCATCCTAAGTTCCTCCAGGTCACTGTAAATTCCATGTCGATGGGAACTCATTTGCTTCTTCTTTTATACCTTCATTATTTTCATTTTTATTTTCTTGTCATTTTCATCTTAATGTTTTCCTTGCCATCTCAAAATCATGACATAAAAGTTAAAATAATAGTGTACAAAAAAGAGGAAGCTGAAAGCTATTAATGACGCCATGTCATTTGTAGCATAAGGATAACCAATTAACAATTGTAAGTATGCCGTTTAGTGTTTCATTGGTGTATTCAATTCTTGTCTATGGTCGAGGCACTCTTAATAGCATATCAATCTCCAAAAAAGTAGGAGTAATAGCAGCCATATGAACCGCATATGCCACTTGAGAGTTTTAACGCTAAAGATGGCTAATATTAAAGATCGTTGTAGGC